CCAGCATGTTGTCCCCCCGGCGAGGGCCCCTCCTGTGCGTGCGGCCCCTCTCGCAGCGCAGCACGACCCCAAGCGCACACCAACGCCTCGGGAGGATTCCCAGCAGAAGCCTGACCCCGACTAAGGTGAAAGGAGCTCGTCCTCCCGGCTGCTACCGCGAGGGCAGGGTCCGACCCCTGGGCCCGGCCCGCGCCCCACGCACAGCCCCTGCTCTGGGCGGGCCGGGCAGCGCCGGCAGTCAGCCCTTACCAGCTTGCTGAAGTAGTTGCGGCTCACTTTCACCATCTCCCCCTTGTACCGCACACACGCCACATTGTTCTCCATGTGCATTTCCACGCTGGGGAGTGGTGGGGAGGGGATGGCCAGTCTCACTGGGTAACAGTACACGAGCCTGTCCTGGACTTCAGGAGCTTCTATCTCAGCTGCGGAGAATAAAGAGAAAAGTGGCTCGTTAGAGTCCCAGGACGTGTGGGACAGATCTTCCTTCCACCTCAAAACATGCTGCGACAGGAACAGGGCTAAAGGGCAGAGTGGTCACCCCTAGCAGCTACCTAGGTTCAGAGCTGATTACCCAAATTCCATCACCCACAGCCAGAGCACGGAGAGGACCCATTTCACAATATTTCTCCATCTCTAAGCCTGCAGACCTGTAAACTACACACAACCATCCCAGCACCGTGAGGCACGTTCCAGACAAGTAAAACACTTTCCTTGCTGCTACTGTTATTATTTCAATTTGCCTCAAACTCATCCAAAGCACAATAAACACTCCCAGGCTGTCAAGTGCAGGAAGCAAAGGAACCTTCCTGCCACCTTCCAGTTCCCCATCACAGACAGCAGCTCAGCCTCGGTGGGAAAAAAGAGCTCAGATGAAAGGTCAGAAGGAATCACGGATTCCATCGTGTGGGAAAACAAGCAGCAAAAACAAGCAGCAGAAGGCAGAGACTGGGATCTGCAGAGGGTCTGAGGAGAGCAAGGACCTAAAAAGGAAAATGACTACAGAAGGGTGGTGATGGAGGAAGCAGGGACCATGGAAGAAGGGAAAGCACTAGAGGCAGAAGTACAGACATAAACTAGGAGGAAAGAACAAGAGAAAAGATCAAGGAACATGAATCCTCTGCCAGGAAAGGAAGGGTGCACAGCGATGTGCTGGGAGGCAGAGGAGTGCAGAACGTGCTCAGAACCCAGGGAATGTGGCAAATATACAGAATACAGGGAGGAGAGAGCGCTTGGCATGAGGAAGGGGATTGTCAGCCATCCCCAGGAATTCATGAAGCAGCAGAGAAGAAAAGCAGGGTCCAGGGAAATGAACTCAGTGCAGCCAGCTCCTAGCAAGCTCCTAAACCCCGAGCAATCACCCATCTGTGGTGTCTGGTGCTACAGCCGGTAACAGTCCCCGACGGAAGACTCCTCGCCACTGCACAGGCACGGTGTGACTGGCACAGCCTGTGCTGGGCTGGCTTCTCCTGCCTGCTGGGTTCAGCCCCGCGGGCTCAGAGCAGCCCTTCCCGCTGGCCGCGCCGTTTGAGCGGGGACAGAGCGCGTTGCCTTTACGCTGCAAGGCTGCAGCCCTACAGCTCTGCAGAGCCGACTGCGTACCCGATATATTGTTCTCTTTGAGTATGGCAAGATGCTTCTCCCGGATCCGCTTGACGTATTCAAGGGATATGTAGTAAATCTTACTGCAGATGCCTTCAACAGAGTCCTTTGCTGCAGCAGACACGTGGGGCCCACATTGTTTGCGTAAGTGCTCCAGGCGGTCCTGCAGAACCAGAGAACCAGAGAGTCCCTTACGCAACCCACCACGGACTCCCCGGAGGTTGCAGAGTCTCTGTGCCGCCGCCACTCCCAGCTGGCAAAGCAAAGCAATCGCAGCCTTCTCCGGAAGGGCCCTTCTCCGGCCCCACACGCCCCCCGTCCTCGCCCAGGCTCCCTGGGCTCAGCCGCACGAGCAGAGGGCCACTGACCATGTAGTCCTCCTTCGAGGCAGAATGGTCCCGTCGCAGCCAGCTGAAGGTGTCCTCCACGTTCCACTTCACCACCTTCCTGCTGTCTGGCGAAGCACTCCTGCAGGGGACAGAGAAACAAAGTGTGACCCATGGCTGCAGGGCAATATCCTCCATCCTCCCCAGAGGATTTCAGGCAGCTGCTGACACCTCCTCAGGGCCCCACCCCGTCTCACCCACCAGGCCGCCTCTGGATAACGCCTCCAGACATTCCCAGGAGCAGGCACTGCCCCACTCTCCAGAACACAGGGTGGCTGCCTGCTGCACACTCTGCTACAGCAGAGGCAGGTAAGCGGTTATCGATCACGGGAACGGCTCGTTTTGATCTTGCCTCTCAGAGACAGCCACCGCTGGGAGCTTGTGACTCAGAAAACTACCCCCTTAGCAAGGGTTTTATTCTCCCCACAAGGCCATCTTCCTCACTTCCATCCCGTGGCAGAACTTGTCAGAAAAATGAGACATGTTACAATAAAGTACCACTCTAAGCTCGCTGCTCTTCAGCAGCAGTGGGTGCCCAAGCACTCTCGTTCCTTTTTCCAGGATGAATGACAGAAGGCCATGACACTCCAAGTCTGTGTTTTACAGATTCTCACTGGTCTCTGCACACAACCAGATTCCCAACATCACATTTTACTGTAACGTTACTATCAAAGACACCTCCAGCACTACTGTTTCCCCTCTGCAGGTTCCTAACCTTGCTCTTCCTCAGTAAGACGATGACCAATGCTGAATTAGGCGGGATGCAGCAGCCCCTTCTAAAAGCCCCTACAACCTTTTTCTCTTTTCTGAACCTGACAGCACTGTAAGAGGAACTCCCACCTGGATTCAATCAGCCGCTTCGCAGCCTCCGCATACTTAAAGAGCAGTCTCTTGGCTTCCTCCCGGAACTTGATTCTGGATAACCTGAGGTAAGTTTAAATGCACGTGTATCAGCTCCACAGCTGCCATGCAGGCCATGCCATGCACGGTCCCGTTCCCAAGCTTTACCTCACCAGCACCCTACCACTCCATCAGCGAAAGGAAACACAAAAGCACAGAAATGCGGCAGCTAAATCACTGGACCAGACCAATACATAAACATCCCAGCAAGGTGCCCTGCCTTGCCCAGTACCTGATGGGAATGTCATTCATGATCTCTCTGAACATGGAAGGAGACACTACTGGCTCGCAGTCACTCGGTAAGAGAGGATCTGTCCCTTTATCAACCACCTTCCTCTCCAACATCCAGCGATTAAAGGACTCCCTTGGGGGGTCAATCCCTGGAGAAGCACAGAAAAAGGGTCTGATCAATACAACAAAGAGATGCCCGGAAGCTGCGACAAGGATCATCACACCCGAGTTCTGCCTAATGAGTTCACAATGAACAGTGTCACAGAGAGTATGACCATCAAGAAAAGACATGACAAGGACAAGGCAGACACAAACCCGACGGAAGAACACCACAGGACTGCAGGACTGGTAAGACACTGTGGTGGTTTAGGCCCTGCCGGGACCAGAGACCACGCTGCCGTTGTCCCTTCCCCACCCTCACCCGGTCAGGGTTGGAAGTGAGGCACAAACCCCGGGGTTGAAATAAGGAAAGATTTAATACAACAGTGTAATAAACAATCTGAACAGCAACAATAGCAATAACAACAACAATAAACAGTAATAACAGTAAACAAGACAAAAGACATCCAGAGAAATAGCGCAGTGAACACAGATAGCCCCCACGCGTGCTTCCCACGACAAAAGCCCCAAAGGAAAGCTTCCCGCGCTGCCGCCGGACCTGAGGTCAGCATGGTATGAATAACCCACCCGGAGACCCCTTCTCCCTGCTGGGGAAACTTAACCCTATCCTAGCTGAACCAGGACAGACACCTAAGGGGAGCCCCACAGGAATTTACCTTCTCGTTGCTGGCAGAGCTCACGATAATGTTGCCGCAGTTTGAGAATGAGCTGGGATCGAAGCAGCTCCACCTCGGGGTGTGGAGAAAGCACTTCAGATGGTGCTCTCTGCTTAATCACTGCATTTGTCTGAATATCCAGGTCCCAATATACTCTACGGCAGAAGCAAATATCATCAGGACAGACAGATCACTGGCTAATTATCAAATACAACTTCCAAAGATGCTTCCTTGGGCTGTTTGCCACCCAGGAAACTGAACTATCAAGACTCTGCAGAGATACAGGGGTGTGCTTCAAAGATGTCTGGAAAACCAAGTGTCTCTAACCTCCCACCGAGAAAAGAACAGAAGACAAATGAAGACAACTCACTCAGTTGGTCGTAAGAGAGCTGCCTGCTGTTTATCTTCAGGTGAAACACACCATGCCTTCAGAACGGAGGTTCCTGGAATACTGGGAGAGCTGGGGACTGCCTGAGCAGCTGGGTTCCCTGGGACGTCCACCTGGCATGTGAAAGATGAATTACTGCCCCACAGAGACACGTGAAGGGGAAGCAGCCCGGTACACCCAACAATCCTGCACCAGTACACCCCTCAGGATACCCCGTGAACTGCACATTTTGCCTGCTGTTGGCATAAATTCACATGGATGTGCAAGCCACCCCGTTTCTCAGTTATGATCTGTTACCTCCCAATTCCCATGTTCCAGCTCAGGCTCTAAGAGAGAAATGACAACTTGGCAGGACCTGAGTCTGCTTCCACTTTTGTACTTTCTGAGTGCCATCTGTCACAGCTTGCTATACTAGAGTGGCCTGACCTTGCACACTTCAAAAAAAAATAGGTCCAAGCTCCAGAGCCCCCAGGTTTTAGTTTGAACAACATCCTTAAGCACATTTGTTTGACAGCACCAGATTCACCTTTGGCTTTTTCACACTGTTGCCGCTCGGTGGAACCTCCTCAGAGAATCTCCTCTTCCTCTGCTTGCTCTCCACAGAGGAATCTATCATCCCACCTTCCAGCGGCATCGGAGCCGCGTTCAGTCCCAGAGGGTCTGACTACAAGTGTCCAAACAACAACAGCAGCACAAGTTAGTCCCTCAGCCGCCACCACAGAGCCCCACACAAAGGCAATAAGCCCTCTTAACCTCCCATTTCACTGTCCCAGGCTCCCACATGGATGGAAATAAGGACACCAATGCTCACACTTGTAAAAAGCTAAAAAAATATCTTCTAGACCTGGATCTGTATGCCTTTTTTTTTTTTTTAAAGACTTGGGTGAGAGAAATGCAATGCAACTCCCTCGAATTGAGCATTCCTCGAGCAGTGCCCTACACCTGGAACAGCACTACCTGAGCATGCACCTGGAGGAACATTTCACCAGAGCCGAGCCAGACGATGGACCTGGCGAGGAGTTCTGAAGGTAAAGACCCTCCCACACGTGCAATGTGAAGTCCACAAGTTCACAGCATCAGTCCCAGTAGAACATCCCAGTACTGCCACAGGCCCTCGAGACGAGTGCTTACTTACAATGACATCGTGCTGGCCCAGAACAGGCATTTCCCACAGAGACTGGTTAGTGAAGCGATTGAAGTAGTAAGGGCGATTCTCCCGCTTGCTCCAGCACTTCTCCCAGCCAGCCTGCACCAGCTCATCTGAGAAGACAGCGAGAGGGTCAGGAGCGGAGCAGTCCCCTGTTACTGCCACAGCACACGCTGGAACACACATCGTTCTGGGCCTCCCTTAGCAGCCTGGCTTCGCCCTCCCTCCCCGGTGCCCCGGGCCCTGCAGAACCACGTGCTGGGCCTTCCCAGAAGCAGAGGCAGTACCTGGCAGGTCCTGTACCAGTCGCATAGGTTTGGGGGAGCTGGGCTGGTTCTGGTTGGAGGTGCCAGGTGAGTGACTCATGAGAGACGCTTCCTCCGCAGGGCTTCCGTGATTCTCATTGGCCATTTCTCAGCAACCACACTAGAAAAAAAGAGACATAAAATCTGTGTTATGGCAAGGAAGAGCCCAGATCCACTTGGCCCACTCAGCTGTAACACTACAAGTTCATTCTGACAGTAAAACGGGGTTTGAACCAGTACACACAAAGCAGCACCTAAGCCCTGAAGAACACCTGTTCTCCTTGACACAGTTAGCTATGAGGAATGCTGAGCTTTAAGTGCTGCCAACCGGGGAGTTCTTAAGGCCAGCATTCAAAATACTCACTTTTTGGCTAGATCTCTCCTAAGAGTGCAGCGTCTGGTCCCAGACATCAGGACTGAGAGCATAAAAAATAAAATACATTCCTCTGTGAACACATACCACCTTCTGCCACGCTAATACCACTGGCCGTATCTGATCTGTTATTTTCAGAGACAGTTTAAACCAACATTTACACACACATAACTGCACGGAATTTAAACAAAAGGCTTTTATTAAAGTATTTCTGCTATATAAAAAAGCCCTAGTGCTTCACCAATACCAACTTCTGTCTTTCAGAGGACCAGAGGCCCTAGCCTGTTCCCTAGTCGGGAACTCCTGAATTATCCTCCTCAGTATGTCCCAGGCCCAGGCTAGCTGCAAGGCGCCAGCCAGGAGGTGTAGCCTTTGGTACTTTTTCATCTGCATAACAATTATGCAAAAGAAGGTCTGTTGAAACAATAAAGCTCCACTTAATCATAATTTAATGTTGCCAGCTGGAGAGAAACAGCCAGGCTCTTCCTCTCTTAGTCACCATTCTTCCCCCGGGGAAGTTTCTGAAACAGCACCGCAGACTGCTCCTCTCTGGCAGCCCTCAATACAGCGGCAATGAACCGGGGGGAAACAAGGCAATGAACCGGGGGGAAACAACCCATTCTAAATAACTGCCGTCTACCTCGGTTACTGGGACTCTATTCAGGCCTTTGGAGACACCCTACACAACACCAGAGTTAGGGCCGCAGTAGCACAATCTTGTGTTTTTTAAAACATCACGGTAGCCCCAGCAGTAGGCTCCCTCATACATCATCGCCCAAGCAGAAACTCTGGTTTGCTTTGCAGGCTAAAGTATTTGGATTTATGCACCTTGGCTCCCCTTCCTGTCCATAAAAATTCTGCTGGCTACTTCAAAAGAGCAGAAAAGTAGGAGCCAACAACGACCAAGAATAAGCAGGTACTATCTAAGCTGTCTACAGTGGTGGTTGTGGAAGCAGCGTGATGCAAGCCAGGGCTGAGGAACTTGACCCTTCATCATCTGGGAAAACGTTTCCCTCCTTCTGGCCAGGGCAAGCAGGGAAAGGTGTGGGACGCTGCAGAGACCTGGAGCTTCGGTCTCTGCTCAGAACCAGGCAGGTAACTGTAACTGAGCCCAAAGGCAAAAGTGTTTGCTACAGTGTCCCAACGCCATCAGGGACCTTTATGGCCTCAGCAGGTGAGCGTTGCGCAATATTTGTTTACTCACACTTCTTCCTGAACTCCAGCCCTGTGAGGGCAGCTCAGCTCCCCACCAGGGCAGCAGCGCAGGCTCCCGTCGCAGGGGAGCTCGCTGGGGCCCGAGGGCCGAGGCAGGAGCCTCACCGGGCAGCGCTGCAGGCAGCAACTTTGGAAGGATGTGTTTAGCCCCTCCTCCTTAAACTAAAAACATATTTGCGCGTGCAGGTGCTGATGTGTCCTGCAGGTTACACAGACAACAGATTATAACGAGCCGGTATACTGACGGGAGCAGACCTCCCGAAGGGAGCCAGGGATGTACTTCAAGAAGTCACAGACAGCGCTGGGTATCGAGCTCTTCCCAGACGGGACAGCACACACCAGCTGCAGCGATTTGCCAGTGTTTTTCACCACTGGTCGCTCGAAAGAGCTGTCAAATAGGGTTCGCTGGTTTTGCCTTCTCCCATTTATGGACGAACTAGAACAGTGGAAGCAGACAAGCAGCTTTATCACTTGATCAGTGTTGACGAGTATTAAATCCAAGCACCCTCAAGGTCTGGGAGAAGGAAAAAAGCAAACTAACAGGAATCCTGACAGAAACTCTACTTTTATGTAACTAGTATTGGGATTTAGACAGTGAAAGGGATCCAGAGTAAGCATTTTTATGGTGATTATGGTATTGTTTTTATACACCACGGCAATGCATACAGTTCTTCACAGACACAGTAGAACGCTGTCCCTGCCCAGAGAGC